GGCTTCCATCTGATCAGAGCTAAGAGAACGGGCCTGTCAGTTTCTACCAACAACACAGGAAGAGAAGCTGGGATGCAGAAAGGCAAAAAAATAAATAAATAAATAAAAATTAAAAAAAAAGTTGGAAGATAATTTATATCTTAAAAAATTGAGTATTTTTGTGAAAACCAAGTAACTAGAAAGAGTATAGCACTGACAAAAACTTACTGCCATCACAGGGGATAAGCTCATCCCACCCACACAGCAGCAGTAAGAAAGGGTAACTCTTAGAAGAATAAGTCTTACAATAGCAACAAAAGGGGAAGGCACAGGGGAAAGGCCCGGGAACATTTCTAGACAAAGACGGGGTGCTTTGGAAGAATATAAAGGCTACAGAGGGGAGACTGCTGCAGAAGTTAACTTTATGTACTGGGGACTTGAATCAAGTAAACTGCCCTCCCCAGTATCAGCATCCACACTATCATCCAAATCCTGAGGCCAGATTCAAAGAAGTCACAGGGAGAGCAGACTTCATTCAGAACATACCCGCGCCAGCGCCCTTCTAGGTCTCCAGGCCACAACACAAATTTTGGACTTCTCACTTTTTATCCATTTTGTTTGTTAGAAATGCTCATTTGTTTATTCTGATGATGTGTACACACACTTTCCATACCAAAGTGCACATGTAGAGGTCAGTAGAAAACTTTTGGAAATAACGTCTCTCTTTCTACCATATGGATTCTGGGGGACTAAACACAGTCATCAGGGATAGTGTCACCTTTACCAACTGAGCCATCTCACAGTACCCCCCACCCTCCACTCCTACAATAAAAACAAACCAGTGTTCCAGGGGAGCACCAAAAGGCACACAATTTTTATGAATCAATTTTAAAACTGAATTGGAAGAAGCCAAGATTAAAAGACATGGATTTACAGACCAGGAGAATGGCAAACAGAAACCCTTTTAAATACAGACAATCGGCACTACCTCCCAGAAATCCACGTGTGGCACTGGTAATGAGTACAGGACTTGTTCATGGAAATGGTATACAAACTGAGATGGTGCTGTGGGACAATGGTCTAGTACCCTGTAAAGATTTGTCACCTGTATTAGTTCAATAAAACGCTGATTAGCCAGTAGCCAGGCAGGAAGTATAGGCGGGTCAACCAGAACAGAATTCTGGGAAGAGGAAAGGCTGAGTCTGCAGTCGTCATCCAGACACAGAGGAAGCAAGATGAGAATGCCTCGCTGATAAAATATACCAAGCCATGTGGCTAACACAGACATGAATTGTGGGTTACTGTAGGATGTAAAAGTTAATAATAAGCCTGAGCTAATAGGACAACCAGTTTATAATTAATGTAAGCCTCTGTATATTTCTTTGGGACTGAATGGCTGCAGGACCAGGTGGGATAGAAACCTCTGTCAACAAGGTGGCCTCCACAGTGAGCCATCTGGAAGAGGAAGAGGAAACACACCCAACCTCTGACATCTAGTGCTACCTGTCCAAATCATCCTACAGATACTGTTGCCTACTTAACAGATGATGCACACATAGGTTATAAGGGCAACACTGCTTGAATTACAAACAATTTCAATGTCATTGAAGAGAACAGATTAAAAATACTATGATATGTCTATAAAACCCAATAAAGCTATAAAGAACTGAAAATTCAAGAAAATGTATTTATGTAAGTGGATAAAAGAGTAACAAAGAATAAACATGGTATCACAGAACACCTTCAATTGTACAAAAAAGGATAGGAGATACAGCATACCACGTACTATCAAATATAAGTATATACCATGCGTATATAAATGCATGTACCTGTGTACTATAATAGTATGATTGTTTGGCAAAGAGTGGTATGGGCGGTGACATAACTAGAGATAATTAAGATGCCAAGAAACTTTTTTCTTTTTTCTTTTAAGATAATCTTTAGATATCAAATTAAACTTTAAAAATATTCAGATATTCTAGAGCTCAAGAGTTAGAACATATTAGGATGGTGGTGGCACATATCTCTAATCCTAGCACTTGGGAGGCAGAGGAAGATGGATCTCTGAGTTCTAAGCCAGGTTGGTCTACAGAGCAAGTTCCAGAACAACCAGGGCAACATAGGGAAACCCTGTTTCAAAAAGCAAAAGACATAAGAAAAAAGTCCTGACATTTTTTAAGGAATCATTTTCTTTTAAATAATAATATATTTATTTAGGTTTTTTGATTGTTTATTATTTATCTTACATTCTGACCAAAGTGTCCCCTCCCTCCTCTCCTCCCGGTCCCTTCCGCCTTAAGTGACCATTTTTATAATAAGCTATCATTGTCAAGATACAGTATTTCATATACTTCAGTGCATTCAGGTCAATAAAAGAACAGTGATAACAGCAAAATTAAGCCCTAAACTAAGGACATTAAAATAGTATTCATTAAAACAGGTTCTACCTGTGGCACACTGTCAATATTTAAATATGAAGGATATGAATTGACTAATTGCCATCTTCTGGAAGCCGTCAGTAAACCCTTCATAAAAGAGAAGTTGGAGCTTGGTCCTGAGGAAGTGACAGGTACTCAAACGGGTTTGACAAGTGAGACTCATCTCAGTACACGAGAGTGAAATGAGAGATGCAACCTACCTGAGTGTTTCAACAAAGTGACAAAGATCCTATGTCCACAGGTAAGTTCAATAAGGTTCTGGAAGCCCTCACAAAAGCCTGTAACTTCATCTATCAAAACCTGATGTGGGAGGTCCTTCTGTCTATGTGTTGCTTTTATTGGTTAATGAATAAAGAAACTGGCTTGGCCTGGTAGGGCAGAGTAGAACTAGGGAGGGAAAACTAAACTGAATGCTGGGGAAAAAAAGGAGGGGTCACAGAGAAGCCATGTAGCCCAACAGTGAAAGATGCTACAACTTTACACGGTAAGCCACAGTGTTGTGGTAATACACAGATTAATGGAGATGGGTTAATTTAAGATATATTAGCCAGAAATACGCTTAAGTTATTGGCCGAACAGTATTGCAAATAATATGGTTTCTGTGTGATTATTTTGGGGCTGAGCATCCAGGAACAAACAAGCAGCCTTCTTACAACAAAAACCCAAGTGCCAGTCCCTCTCAGTTAAAGGGACCAATATGAAAGAGCTTCAAAATGTTCACACACTAGTACAAGCGAGATGAAATAACTGAAGTACTGTACACTCAGATTGGCTGCTCAAGCTTTTAAAACATACATATGTCGGCAGGAGGAATAACACCAGCTTCACTCTTTCCAGTGGCTCTAATATGCTTTGCTTAAAACCATAAACTCCCTCCACAGTTTTATAATCAAAGTCATGTGGCAATAGACTTCAACAAATCCTCGCATACACTTTTTTTTTTTTTTTTTTTTTTGCTTTTCAAGACAGCGTTTCTCTGTAGCTTTGGAGTCTGTCCTGGAACTAGCTCTTGTAGACCATGCTGGCCTCAAACTCAGAGTGATCTGCCTGCATGCGCCTCCACTGCGGGGGTGGGGGAGCAAATACACTTTTAGAATGCATTCAATTAAAATGAAGTTCCACGGTTAAGAGCACTTGCTGCTCTTTCAGGACACAAGTTAGATTCTCAGTACCCACTTAGGGCTGCTCACAACCACCTGTAAGTCCAGCTCAAGAAGAGACCTGACTCCCCTGCACACATGTGTACCAAACTGCAGAGACACACAGACAGACAGACACACACACATATAATTAAGACAACACATTTTTTTTAAATTAAGCTCTACATGTTTACATATTTAACTTAAGGTCAGAAATCTTCACTCCATCAAAAAGCCCTTAAATGGAGAAGCCTGTGTCACATATATTCCTTCTTACCACGCCCATCCCACAAAAGAGAGAGAACGGAGGAAAAGGTTAGCATGCAAGGAGGCTGCTCTGTAGGAGATTGGAGCTACTGGGCACAGCTGGGCACAGAGCAAGGCTCTCTCTCAGCTGTTCCATCTCACTCCACTCGAGAGCCACAGTCTAAAACAAATGAAACAGAATCAAACGAATATGTATGTATCTTATACTATTTTTTCTCAACTGTGTAAGCTGAAATATATATATGGCCCAGTAACAAATACTTTTCCATTTCTATTACATTTATGTACGTGTGAGTGTGCACACAGGTGGAGGTCAGAGGACAGATGTTGGGAGTCTGCTCTCATTCTACCACATGGATCCTGGGGATTGGATTCAGCTTACCAGGCTCAGGCAGGTGCCTTTACCTGCTCAGCCATCATCTTCCCTGCCTCCAAAACAAGTCCTTAATTCGTCTAAGTTCAACCAGAAACTAGATGTGCGTTGTGGCAGCGCACAGTCCCAGCACTCAGGAGAACCGTGGCAGAGAATCAAAGGTAGAGAGGAGAGGAAGCCAGGCAGCAAAGGGAAGACCAGAGTCTTAGAGCGTGGTGGCTGGCCATTCTGTGCATATATTAGTGTACTGTGACTGAGCTTCAGGAGAATAATGCTCCAAGGTAACCATGCTCCATGCTGCGGCCCTAAACATTCAGACTGAAAAGGCCAAGATAAAAGGCCATCTAGCAGGGTCACTTGACCTGCAAACCCTCCTGTGGGGCCTCCCCGAGGCGGAAAGATTCAGAACACAGATGAACGTGACATGAGTGACTCTCTGCTGCCACTAGCCAGGAGCGCAGCAGTTCCTGCAAGTTTCACCTCACTGTGTAGGACGCGGTGAGGAGAGGAGAGGCAGCAGTGAGAAGAAGGGCTAGATCCCCGTTTCCTGCAGGGTGATGGCGCACAAGTTTAATCCCAGCACTCAGGAAACTGAGGCAAGCCATCTCTGGGTGTTCAAGGCCAGCCTGGCCTACAGAGCTAGTTTCAGGACAGCCAGGGCTACGCACAAAAACCCTGTCACACACACACAAAGCACCCCCCTCCAATAACTCCTAAAGGGCAGGAGGATTTTCGGGGCACAGTCAGCCTCTGAACACATACTTGGAGGAGAAAACAGGACCTGGGGGCAGCAGTCACGCTCACCTGCTGTGGCTGGTACCTCTGCTGGGACTGGGGCTGCAGGTACTGGGCCTGGGGCGGGAGGTGCGGGGGCTGCGGCTGCTGGTTGTAGTATGGCTGCTGGCCTTGCTGGCAGTAACCACTCACACCTTGCTGTCCATACTGCGGCGGCATCTGTAAGAAAAGCAAACGGAGCAAATGAGGACTGAAGAGATGGAAGTAAACGAACTCGAATAGGGGTTTGACGCCATCGTGTGAAGGGAGACACAATGCAGAGTTTACACCTCTTCTCATTCGGTAACTTGACTTTCTGCTTCTGACATACCATCAATGGATTCAACAGACAGCGTGACATTTATCAGGTATCACGTTCTGACACTGTCATGAATGTCTAGGGGTAGCGGTCATTTAAAGCCCCCAAGCAAACTTGTGATGAGCTCACACAGTCCAGGCTAACTCACTCACACTGTAGGAAGGCTGTGATCGGGTTCAGTGTGCTGAACATGCTTCTCAGCCTCTCACAGATGTGGGCTGATGACGTCAGCACCTCCACTTACTAATACACTATAAGGAAAGTGCACTCATTACCATCAAACCAAACCCCTTGGTCTTAAATGTGCCTCAAAGGCCCAAGTGCAGGAATATGGAGCTCCCGCGAGGCCTGCGGGACAATGGGGCACTCTCAGAGGGAACAGTGGGACTCCAACCCCTTGCACACTCATTTCTCTTGCTGTCCATGCAGTAAGCTCTTTTCTCCAGCATGTGCTCTCACAAAGCTGTGTGGTCTATCAAGGACCCTGAGCCACAGGGCCAACCAATCATGTGCCCTCAAAACTGGAAGCCAAAGAATCTGCTTCCTTACTTGAGAGGATTCCCTCAGACTTTGTCTTAGTAATGGAAAGATAATAAATATACAGAAGATACTAACTATATCAAATAACACAATGCCCAATGTGTGTTCTTGAAGGACAGATACCCATCCAATAGAGAATAGATTTCTTAGCTGACAGAGCAGGCAAAAACAAAGAACCCTGCACTGCAGATAGCAGAGCTAGAGCAAGCCAGAAGAAACCACTCTTGTCTCCAGTGCCCTGCCACCTAAACCCCTAAGTCACTCACTGCTCAGAAAAAAAGTCCTCTCTTGTGCAAAAGCTACAACACTGACAGTATTTTCTACCTTCTTTCAAAGCAATCCCCACACACCTAATAGACTTGTTGGGTTTTGTTTTGGTTTCGTGTTTTGTGTTCCCAACCCCAACCCAACTGGGAGAGCAGGAAAGAAAAAGAAAAACAAGATCAGGCAGTGAGGCAGAGCGCCACTCAGCTGCTAGGGATGGTGACGTTATCCTCCTGTTAATAACATCATAATATGGTCGTGAGAGAACTCCAAGAACTTCAGCCCCGCGAGCCCACACATTTCAGAAACCAAAGGACCAGATCCACATTGAAGAGCCAAACTATCTACAACCATTCTAATAAGTAAAAAAAAAGGCAAAAAAATAATTTTTAATACTAAAAAGTTTATCTCCAAGACAATGCACAAATTCACAGCACATACAATGGAATCAAAGGAAAATAATGCAAAAAAAAGAAAAGAAAAGAAAAAGCCAATGCTCCTGTTCCTTTTAACCCAGGTCAATTATTTTTCAAAGCCTTCCTGCAATAACTGCAGAAAATATGGTCAAAACAGTTCACAGGCTTCTCACATACATAGCCTAGGCTGCTAAGACAAGGCAAGTTTAAAATAATAATAATAATAATACCATTAAAGAAATCTTTGCTTTATTTTACAGTTTGATATTTCACAATGAATCAAGTTAAACCAAAAATTGTTCATATAGTTCAACTCCACGTACTAGAATACCCGCACCAGGACCACGTGCACCCCCCCTCATTCAACGCTCACATGTCTGATTTGGTATTCAATACAGGATTTCACATGTAGTACAACTCTACATTCTAGAATACCCGCATCAGGAAGACGTGTGCTCCCCTCCATTAAATGCTCACATGTCTGATTTGGTATCTAATGCAGGATTTCATATGGCGCCTTTGTACAATTTGAAGCAGCAAGGATAACATGTCGGCCATGTTACATGACTGTAAGCCTCTGTCAACACAACCAGCAACTCTCTGAGGAGCTGTGCACTAATATGTTGACTCTATGGTGTACGGAAAGTCTCTCACACAATATGGAAGTGGTATTTGGGAGACGGGCCTCTGTCTTACACAACAGCAAGTATGGCCCATCCCATCATTTGTGTCAACCGTGTGAGCTGTAAAATTGGGCTATTGGGAGTTTCACAAGCTGGACGCTATGAAGGTGTTCATATCAAGGCTGTTGCTCCTCATCGAACTACAAGCTGCAACGTGGCATTAACTAATCGCTGCTTTAAGAACCAACTTCTCACCATGATAAGTAATTCCTACTGCCTAAGTGAAGGCTCTCAGCTCTTGAATGGTCAGTGGTTTTGTTTTGGTCAGTTTAGAAGTGGAGTTTTCAAACACTACATGCTTCTCTGCAGACTTCTTAAACGAAATAGCACTATTTTAAAACAGAGACCACAAAAGTCCAGGAGCCACTGTCTCCTTCTCAGTTCTTGGCCATGGGGGACTTGGTACTCCTCTTTCTACCCCAGCCTTGTTTGGCCCCAGTGTAACTCATTGTTACTCCTGCGGTGCTGAGTAAGGCCTGAGAAGCCCAAGCAAACTGCTGAAGGGACAAAGGATGTGTCCGTGAGGAACTCCTTGTACATCCATGCTGACTCCACACGGTCCTGGGACTCTCACTTGTTCTCACCATGTTTGGAATCAACTAAGATTACAGACTGACAAGCAAGTGAGGCTGACAGTACCACGAGCTGAGCACTGAGCACTGGGGCTATAGAACTTCTGCCTCGGGTCACCCTGGCCCAGAGCAGGCAACCTTACCATTATCATCCTCCTCGGGCTTGACCAACTTGTTTTACCATGAGGATAATGACTGGTTATGTTATGGGGTCGGCCTTGGACTGTTTGGGTATCTGCTCCCACACCAAAGCCATGCCCCTGGACTAGGACCTCACAGCAATGTTATCTGATGAGCGAGTGTTAGCAATGAGTTAAGGAAGCAGCTATCAGCATGTAAAATCTAAACTTATCACACGGACGGCATCTGTACCACCAGATCTGGAACCCAGGCTCCCTCCGGCCACTGGCAGGAGGTCTTTAATGAAGGCTTGGAGCAGCACCTCACATCCGATCAGGTAACCAGGCATCAGTCCATGACTACTTCTATAGAGTATCACGGGACTGAGCTAACGGAAGCTCTCCAGCAAACATCTGGGGCCTGATGGTCTTCATGACTTTTAAAAAGAATCTTTCACTCACTTCTAGACACTTCTACACTTGCATAAACACACAGAATGACAACTTTAAAAAGCTGAATGTGTCTAAGTACTCTACTGGGAAGAGAGGGAAGGCGTATCTGAAGGTGATGCACCGGCCTCAAGTGTTCTCTCCAGGACATTATCCCAATGAAGACACAAGTCTCGGTCTGTGTCAGAAGGGCACTCTGGACCCCACATTTTCCTTCACCAGGCCCAGGAATTTCTGCTCATATTAAAAAATTAATGAACCACTCAAGTTTCCCTTCTTCTTCTTTATCACTGACCTCATGACCCAGGCAGTGGTGGCGCACACCTTTAATCCCAGCACTTGGGAGGCAGAGGCAGGAGGATCTCTGTGAGTTCAAGGCCAGCCTGGTCTACAAGAGCTAGTTCCAGGTCAGGCTCCAAAGTTACAGAAAAAAAACCTGTCTTGAAAAACAAAAACAAAACAAACAAACAAAAAGAAAAAAGATAGTGTTTACCTAACAGATATGGGACCCTGGGGACAGAATGAAGGTTGAGAGGGCAGACTGAAAGTTGCGGGGAAAGAAGGAGGAGGGGAAGAGGGACACTGAGGTGGAAAAATCTAAAATCTCAGTGTAGTTACACCAGATATTTGTTTTCACGTGCATCTATGCTTTTTTCTTATGCTTAAATTTTTAATCTTACATTTTAAAATGACGATCTTGCTTCCAACTAGTACCCTTCCCCACCTGAAACGAAGAGGGTGGTGACAGGACACAAGCTGAGGACTCCCAGAGGGTCCTAGAGCCCTTCTGTAGGATCTGCCTGGGGCAGGCTCCCCTGTGGCCCTTCTCCACTGACAGGAGTCCTATGGGCTGCTAATCTTAGCCAGCATTTTCCTGACCCTCCTACATGGGAAACCAACCCTTCAAGGTACTGCAGGAAATCAGTTCTAGGGTAAACTAAGTAGGCTGTAGAAATAAAGCGTGTAATATGAGCACACTCAAGGACCCAGAAATCCTTACAAAGCTAAGGGCCTCTCTGCCCTTGACCAAGGACCTCACACAGCCACATGGCCCCAACCCAGAGCTGCAAACTTCACAGGCTTTTCTGGCTTAAATCTTCAGTGTGTGCGGATTACTCGATCTGAGACAGAACTCACTGAAGAACCTCCCAGAACACCTATTAGATACCACAGCCCTGATTCCACAGTGAGATAAACAAGAGACCAGGATGACTATCTCCAAAGCAGCTTGGGAAACATGTGAAAGAGCTGACAGCCCAACTCAGTAAGCACCTTAGCAATCTAAGGCTGGGACCCCACCCAGCTTCCAAGGCCATCTTGCCTTTGCACACCTCTATCTACTCACCCCAGCCATTTATGCCGTCTTTGCGGGAAGACAACTTGCAAACAGGGAACACTAAGAGTGTCACACATGCATCACCTACACATGCAATATGCAAAAACTTTCCTGCTTCTGAACCCTAAGCAAGCTAATTTGTGATCTCAGATGAGTGAATTTCCTCAGTACATTCCAGTTTCTGTGCAAACATGAAAGCCTCTGGCCCAGCTTCCTTTCTATGGCTGTGATAAACACTAAGAACAAAATCACTTTAGGGTATGATGGCTCACAAGCCACAGTCCACCATGAAGGAGTCAGGGCAGGAACATGGAGGCAGGAACTGAAGCAGAGGTCAAAGATGAACACTGTTTACTGGCTTGTTCCCCATAGCTCACTCAAACTTGGTTTTTAATACAACAAGGACTACCTGGGTGCCCACCTCCCACATGAATCACTAACCAAGAAAATGCCCCGCAGCCCTGCCTACTGGCCTCCTTAG